TTTTTTGTACTTTTTTTAGTAGAGACGGGGTTTCACCGTGTTAGCCAAGATGGTCTCGATCTCCTGACCTCGTGATCTGCCCGTCTCAGCCTCCCAAAGTGCTGGGATTACAGGCTTGAGCCACCGCGCCCGGCCCCCCTGTTCTATTTCAAGTTATTTTAATGAGGATTTATAAAGTCCTCACTATCAAAACAGTCACAAATAATTTCCAGATTAAAGTAATGCAATTCTGATCATTTCATTCTCCCATTGAAAATGTTTGACATTCAAAGCCCTCTTATCAATCAATCAAGCGATTCTACTTCCTAGTCCTTAGAGACACCCTGTACATTGTGGCCCTTTGCCTTTACTCAAGCAAATCCTATCCACTGACAGTGCCCTCTCCCTCAGTATCAATACAAATTCACAAAAATATTATTTCTTCCAATTAGCCTATGCCATGTGTCAACGAAGTAATAACTAACAATTTAAAACATTTTATAGAAGTCAACTAGTCTGCTATATCTTCACATGTATTAACTAATTTAATCCTCACAACCACCTTATGAGGTAGTTACAACTATTTTCTTCACTATGCAAGAGATGAAACTTAGGGTAAGGTAGGTTGAAGTGACTTTCTCAAGAATGCTTTATTAATGATACTTGTGAAGAATGGTGAGACAGACCTTTTCAAAGTCAGCTATGGAGATAGGTTTCAGGACCACAGCAGTAAGGTATTGCAGTGGGGGAGTGAGATTGGACTAAATTCTAACTCCAATAAGGACAAGTGGGAATTTATAACCAAGAAGCAGGGTGGGGAGCAATGGATGGAAAATTACTAAGAGTAAACACCAAGGATAAAGGATTTCTGGCTAAACTGACCTGATGGGATTATTGCTGAAGGCAGGCCAGGGTGATAAGATATTGAGGGTGGTCTGATACCAAGGGTAGGGAATATTCATTAAAGTGATGTGGCAGGATTCTTGCTCCAATTGGATTCTACAGATGGTCCCCAACTTACAACGATTGGATTTTATGATGGTGCAAAAGCCATACATATTCAATGGAAACACTTCCAATTTTGAATTTTGATCTTCTCCTGGGCGAGTGATTCACAATACAATACCCGCTCCTGATGCTGGGCAGTGGCCATGAGCTGCAGCTGTCAGTCAACCATGCAATCACAAGAAGCATGTTTAAGGTAGGCTAGGCTTCAGCATGTCTAAGTTAGGCTAAGCCGAGCTATGATGTTCAATAGGTTGGGTATATTAAGTGCACTTTCCACGTGGAATATTTTCAACTTATGATGGGTTTTTTGTATCGTAACTTCATCCTAAGTCGAGGAGAATCTGTACTAGAACAGAAAGGAAAGCCCAAGATCAGGCTTAGTCAAGCAGAGGACTCAGAGAAAAGCCTGATTATAGTTTTGGTCAAAGGAGAGAGTGTGTGTCAGCCCTATCCAAGGTTACCATCGTTGAGAGGGGATTATATTCATACATGCTATAATTCTACTAGAGTCCAAGAACCCTGGGACAAGAACTGTGAGATAGTCATTCTTGTGACCCCATCACCATATCACTACCACCTAACAATTGATACTAGGCCTTGTGTATAGTGGTGATTTACTGAGTATTTGCTGAATTGAAGATGGCTTTATAGGATTTTCTCTTTAGTACGTTGTCATGTCTTCTTTATGCCTTAATTTGAAATAGTCTTAAAGCAAAAGAAAAAGCATTTCAATTTTGAGGGGGTCACATATAGATCAATGATATTTTCTAAATGCTATTTGTTCTTTTTATTTGTCTTCTTTTAGTAGTACTCTGTTTTCTAGAAACTAGGTACTTGCTTCAGGAGACTCCTTTTCTTCTGTTAGTTGTAACTTGACAACTGAGAATAAAACTAAGAAAGGATTTTGCAGCCAATGCTGCAAATACAAATTTGTTAATTGTATATTAACCAAATATGACTGCAAAAGGTTACTAAATACTCATTGTAAAGCTGTATTTTAAATGTCAGAAATCCATGTCAGTAGCTGAGGGCATACAGTTTTATGTTACATTTTAAAGTAAGAAAGATATCGTGTTTTTTTGTGAGCATAGATGTGGTTTAGTCTCTTTTATCCCCCTTTTGTGTGTGTGTGTGTGTGTGTGTGTGTCCCTGAAATCAGAAATGGTGTGAACATGAGTATGCTGATGCATTTGAGAAACGAGGACTATAAATTAATCTGGCCACTTTATAAGATGTTTTATATTAGACTGTAAAATTATTTCAGTTGCAAATGTATTTACTGGTAACTCCCATATACTTTTAATTCCCCTTTTTCTTCCTTTTCTCCTAAGATCAGGCAATATAACCTTTTCACTTTTATTTTTCCCTAAACATTAAGATCACTAGGTAGAGCCTGAAGAAGGAAGACTGTCCTGAAGCAAGAGAAAGGAAATCCTAATACTCTTATGGGAAATTTTGGAATAGCATGTGGATAAGTACAGGGCATTTCTGTGGTAGCCAAACAGATGACACCTGCTCAGTATCACCTAATCTCTGATTGGTAACCCTTAGTTTACAGGCAATGCCTGCAACTCAAAATATTTGGAATTTGTCTACAAGTACATACCATAGCACAATTTAACAACTGCAGCACAATAAAAGAGATTGTATTTACTTTTAAAAGTCATTGAAATATTTCTTAACATTTCACTTCTGAGTGGTGTCTAATGAAATAGTAATATCTTTGTCAACAAGCTGTGAATTTCCCTATTACTCTTCTAGGAAGAATAGGTTCTATCTGGTTAGCTGGTTTGTTCTTGTTTGAAATATCTTCATTTAGTAGCAGGGAAATTGTGATTTAAAACTAATGGAGTTGGGAGGCCCAGGAAGGTGGATCACTTAAGGCCAGGAGTTCTAGACCAGCCTGGCCAACATGGTGAAACCCCATCTCTAATAAAAATACAAAAATCAGCTAGGCGTGGTGGCATGAGTCTGTAGTCCCAGCTACACGGGAGACTGAGGCTGGAGAATGGCTTGAACCCAGGAGGCGGAGATTGCAGTAAGTAGAGATTGTGCCACTGCACTCCAGCCTGGGTGACAGAGCAAGACTTTGTCTCAAAAAAGAAGAAGAAGAAAAAAACCTAATGGAGGTGTGAGTGGGGGTAGAAGGGAATTGGCCATGTATTGATAATTTTTGAAATATATTTCTCTGTATTCTTTATATTTGAAATTTTCCATAAATAAAGTAAGTAAAAATAATAGAAGTGAAGAGAAACACCTGCTGCTTTTTAGTTGAAACTAGAAATGGAAATAGGTAAATGCACAAGTTCTACATTCCAGTGTGCCTCCTGTGGTAGCAATAGCAAAGAAACACTTTCACACATCAGGCTAAGTAGGAGACCATCACAGCATCCAGTCTGCTTACTTTAATAAAAAAAATCATACATGAGCCTTAATGTTAGGGCATCAGCAACAATTGTATTCTGCAGACAGTTAATTTAGACACAGCCCAATTCCTACTACAACTGAAAAACAAGATCAATGTCAATTTTCATGAACTAAAATTTGTTCAAGGTTTAAAAAAAGTTACACCAGCAATGCCAAGTTTTTCATATATTTTTCCTAAGTGATATTCAGAAATTTTACTCATATCCCTGTAGAAATCATAGTCTGCCAACTCTTTTAAATGCCTATTTCTATTTTCCTTTACATAAAACTAAGGAGTTGTCAAATATCTTTCAGAAAAACAAACTGAAAAGAATTTATATGATATATATAACTGTCATGAGTCTAATACTTTATATAGACATTTAATTATCTAGATCACTTATTTTCCTATCTTTTGTACCATTAATGTTTTTCTCCATTAAATTATTCTTTCCCCCAAATGCAATATTTTAGGTTGTTCACAATTCGTTGTAATCAATTTGCCATGCCCTTCAATCTTCTCTTTCTCTTTTTCTCTCTTAGCCAATTTACGACACCAGATTAGCCACATATGTTGAGTGTGTGGATCGCCAAAATTATAAACCACAAATGGCATAAGTTTGAGGAATTCAAATAACTGTGGCCAACTCTAACCTCAACTGCACCCAACAAAAATGAACAAGAAAAGACTTTCCCTATCTTAAGCCTCTAAAAACATTTTCATAGAAAGCAGAGTTAAAGCCATCCTGCCACTTCTTTTTAGGCTTTTCAAGACCTAAATTCTCTAGGTCTCATCATCTTTCTCTTTCTATTTATTTATTTATTTATTTAGAAAAGCTATTTGTCATAGGGAAATTTGGATATATAATAAATACATGAGAGAATAAGGTATGCCTAAATGGGACACTTCAGAATCAATGTAAATTTTGGATCTCACCTGCAATTTTGAAAGTCCTATGAATTTAAAAACTAGTAAATACCTTAATATTCATGATAGCTTACTGTAAGATTCTCTAGAGGCAATGAAGATGGGAATCTCAAGAAAACTAAAACTACCATACATCCTGGCTTCAGAGGTGAAAACAGGGGGAGAGGATTGGCTAGTTATCAACAGAAGGGAAAGTGCTTTTTGCACAGAGAAAGAATAGACAAGGCAACAAAAGTGGCAAACTGTAAGGGCCAATACACATCCACTGCTTCAAGTTTTTCAGCCATGTTCCATTCTCAGAGATTTCTGGTAGTACTTCAAGAACACTGATCTCCAAACTCCTTCTGAAAAGGGCTAGGAATGCTTCTGCCTGAAGATCTTACCTATTCTTTCTGGGCCCCATGATCTCCCTACATGATTGATCAACCTACTATTTCAACTCGAAAAAGCCTTTTCACAAATGTCAACTTCAGTGAGGCCTCCATTTAAAAATGAACACCCTACCAAGTCCTTTCCTAATTTCTGATTACACCCTGTGAATTTACATCAACCTACCCCACACCCTCAGTTTATGCCTCTTTTGAACATTCCTGCCGGGCTTCTCCTTTAAATCTTGCCTGGAAGGGGCGGAGCTATGTCCCAGGCTCACCGGGAGGGGCGTTCCGTAGGCTCCGCCCACCTACGTCTCAGAGGGCGCTCTAACGAACCCAGGATAAGGTCTCTTCCTAGTCCGCTCCGGAAATACGACTGCGTACGCGCTGGACACGCAGTCGTGACGTCAGCGCGCCCGCGCCGGCTGGCCGGACGCCCTAGGCTTCCGCGAGATCTTTGGTGGGGGCTCGGTTGCTTTACGCCACGGCACTGCTACGTTTGGGTTGTTTCCTGCAGGCTGTCTGGACCTGGTTACGATTCCACAATGTACCACAACAGTAGCCAGAAGCGGCACTGGACTTTCTCCAGTGAGGAGCAGCTGGCAAGACTGCGGGCCGACGCCAACCGCAAATTCAGATGCAAAGCGGTGGCCAACGGGAAGGTGAGGTTTTCCCGACGGTTACCCAGTTGCTTGGTCACTAAATTTTGAGCAGCTGCGGCAGCTCTTCTGGCTCCCAGGACAGTCTCACTCCCTCATTTCTCTGCCTCTGCGGCGCGGAGTGCGTTTATCTATTAAAATAAGCGAGCACCTCGCGAGGTTCCGTGGGTACAAAGACGAACAACGCCATCCCCGTGGTCGAATGGCAGACAAGTAACCAGTCTTTGTAACGTGGTGAAGAAGAGAGTAGGTAGTGTGCTAAGGTAGTGCGTGGCAAGAGCCGTTCACTTGTCAAGCGGTGATGTTGGGGAAGGTTTTTCCCAGTAGCCAATGCGGAGAAAATGGGGAAAGGACGTTCCAGGCAGTCAGAACTACCGTGCATAGTGGGAGGGAGGTCAGAAGTTACAGGGCTGGTGCGTGGACGTGTTTGTGGTCGTATGTGGCCGAATGTGAGTACCTGTGCAGGAATGGCTGGGGAGGGTAGGAAGGGAACCTGTTTGTAAGTGGAAGTGAGGCGTTTGAAATTTCCATTGAAAGGATGAGGAACCTTTGAAATATTTAAAATGGGAAGCTAACCTTATCAGATTTCCGTTCTGGAAACAGCGCTCTAGCAACCTCGTGGTGAATGGGTTGGATGAGGGCGGGAGACCGGCGACGGAATACAAACCAAGTGACTGAAGATAAGGTTTGGACTGTGGCCCGCTAGCCAAGTCCCTTCTGTTACAGCTCTAGGACTGGTTTAATCTTTCTTACAAGCTCCACTCCAGCAAGTGTTCAATGCCTCCAAATTACTGACACTGAATTACTTTACTTTCTACCTGTAATTCACATCACTGATTTTAGCACCTGAATTAGTTTCCTTAAGGGCTGCCTTAAAAAAATCACCACAGACTGGGTAGCTTAAAATAACAGAAATTTATTGAAACATTTGCCGTTTTTTTACAACTTGTGTCGTAATGACTGACCGAGAAACGAATGTTGGAAGCTTTCCAATCATATTTGTAAAAAGTCTATCTACTTTTAAATTTGTAAATAATGATATCACAGCTGTGAGCATATGCACATAGCCTATCGTGATTGTTTATATAATGAAGCAAAGGTCTAGCTGACATTCCGAAAAGTTGTGAAATGATGGTACAGTTTTAGTTTATTATTTTCCTACAGCTATTTTGTGTAATGATTAGCGAATCTATAAAGAAAACGAGGCGTGATATATTCCCCTTCGTTGGAGATATAAAATAAATTTAATCTGGATAGAGAAAAATGCTTTACAGTTGTTTAATTCATTGAATTCATTGAACTTGTGTTGTAATTGTTGATCTAAAGGTTCTTCCGAATGATCCAGTCTTTCTTGAGCCTCATGAAGAAATGACACTCTGCAAATACTATGAGAAAAGGTTATTGGAATTCTGTTCGGTGTTTAAGCCAGCAATGCCAAGGTCTGTTGTGGTAAGTTACAGTAGTGATGAAATATAATGTCCTTTAGTTGACTTGTGAAATTTGACCTCTTCTAAATTCCCTGTCCACTCTAGTCTTAAAAATTCACGTTAGTTACAATTAATTAGTTTTTGGCACATTATATCTTTTTCAATTCAGGCCTTAACTCATGAATTGCTGTATCATATCTTCAAAAGTATTTCAAGTCTCATTTTGTGGTCAGAAAAAAATTTGAGGTCAGGTAATGTTATAAAGAAAGAAACAAAATAAATTACTTTCCTCTAAGTTCTCAACTAGTGAGCCATAGAACTGGGACTAGAACATAGACTACTTGCTTTTCCAACTCTGACACCCCAATACATGTTTGAAGTAATGCATTCTTTCATAATTGGTAATCATATGCCCCAGCTGAAACTGATACCATAAGATTTTTTTAAGCCTTAATTAGTAGAAGCTGGAGTTTTATCTTTGGTTAAAAAAGATTGTCTTATTGCTTCAGATGTATGGTTCTGAGGACCTGTTTGTTTTTTGCTGGGGTGGGCATCCGTGAGGAGAAACAGGTAGCTGAGATTAAAAAGCAGAAAGATAAAAAAGCTAGAGTGGGAGGGTGTTTAAAATGTCTTTACGTTGTTCTCTCACAGGTTTCTTGTAAAGAACAAATATAGAAGTGTATCTTAAGTAAAAGACTGTTAAATTTTAAAGTTATACAGTGTGACTAGCTTACGACCGAGTAGAGAATAATCTTCTGGGAAATTATCTCCATTTTTATAGTTGAAAAAAATTTGAAGTATGTTGAAAATATTAAGTCCATAGAATTTATAATTTTTTTTTCATCTGAGATATCAAAGATTCAGAGAGAGTTTTAGGTATACTTGATTAGTTTATATCTTCAGATTTGGTTTATTCTTACAAAAGAACTAAAATGAGGCAGTAAATTTAAGTGATCTTATCAAATGAAGAAAAAAATCCTTTAATGAACTTCTTTATGGAATTTATTTTTAAATAACATGTTTATCATTGGTGAATAATTTTTGTTTTACATAATGACAAAACTAAACTTTTAAAATACTTAAAAGGAAATATTCTTTTTTCTATCATAAAATAGATTAGTGGTTATTTCATTGGTTCCAGCCAAATGATATAATGATTAAAAGTACAGGCAGGTCTTACTTGAATTCATTCCTGTTCCTTATTAGCTGTGTGACCTAGATAAGTCAGTTCACCTCATTGATACTCAGTTTCCTTCTCTGTAGAGATAGCAATATTTCACCAAGCTGTTGTAAGGGTTAAAACACGATGATAGTTTTGTGCTTATCACAGAGTCTGGCACTTGGTATGCATTCAGTAAATGGTAGTGCTGCTTCTGCCATTCAGTTGGCAGCAGTGATCACAAATCATGGGAATGGATACAAAGCAATATCACAAATATGTAGTGGCTTTAGAGAGAAGGCTTATTGCCTTGCTCATGTTTTTTTGTCATTATTTTTATAAGATTGGTTAATCTGTGAACATTTGTATTTTTCTTCCTGAATTTATCTAATTCAGGACATTTTTGATACTCTGACTTCTAAAACATACACACTCACGTATTTTTAAATCCAGTGACCATAGGAAGGATTAGCCAGGGTAGGCTAGGGATAGACAAGCAAAGGATGGGAAAGGATCTTTTGGCTATGGCATTTCTGTAGTAATTCATCACAATTTATTTTGATTAAAGAAGAATTAATGAGTATTAGTATTTTTCTGGGTAATCTCTACAAAGAAACCTTTCCATAAATAAGTTCTGTTTCACACAATTTAACATTTAACATTTGTGAATAGATCCTAATGATATATTTTTTTTAACCCTTAGGGTACAGCTTGTATGTATTTCAAACGTTTTTATCTTAATAACTCAGTAATGGAATATCACCCCAGGATAATAATGTGAGTATGTCTGTCTAATATATTGTTTTCATTTAAGAAGACCTTTATACTCTTTTGAGTTTTTTTGGGAGGAGAGAGTTGAGGGTAATTTAGACTTGAATTCTGTTTTTTGTTTTTTTTTTTTAATTCAGAACTTAAGATCTCTATTTACCTGTACTTCGGTAATTCTGATGGCATCTGAACTTCAACTTGTCCAGATTCAAATTTTGTTTTTCTCAAATTAGCTACTTCTCTAACATCTCTATTTGACACCTTTGTTCTTCCAGTTGTTCAGACTGAGAATCATTTGTAGTGGCCCCTCCCACATCCAGTCAGTTTACGGATCCTATAGCTTCCTACTCATTTCAGTTGAACAAAGGTCTGTTGTTGCTGCTGTCTGCTGAGCACTGTGTCTATCATTAAAGATGAAATTAGTATGAGACTCATCAAAGAGCTTGCTCTCAATGACATTGTACCTGTTTTCTCTTTTTGATTCCCATTTCCACCAGTCAAGATTAGGCCCTTGATGTCACTGCCAACCTTGATTTTTGCAGTAGCTTTCTTACTGTTTTCTCATACTGAACAGCATGAATTGGCCAGGTGAATTTCACACATTTGTCCCTTAAATAATAGTCTCTTATTCAGATGCCCTTAGAGACTTCCACCGATGGCCTTCCACAATGTTCCTTTAACCTACTTTTCTTCCCATACTTTTATGGTACATATGTGCTTTATTTTTAACTATTCCATCTACGTTATACAAAGTGCTCTTATTCCTCAGTTAATTTGTTTTTCCAGATATTTAGGTTGTACTACATAACACTGTCATTGAGTCAGTGATGTTTGAATGCCATGGCAATATTGGTTTGACCTATTTATAGTTTGTCTTATGTCTCTTAATGAAGTGTGAACAGGAACTATCTTTTAAAAAAAAATTCTTGCAATGTCTAGCAGTCACTTTTGAATATTAGGCAATTATAGAATATACTTTTAGAAATAAAATATTTAGATACTTCTCAAAGTATATGCATGTTCTTCTGCCCCACCCCAACCCCACCCCCTGCCGCTTCATTTTTTCCTCTAGGCTCACTTGTGCATTTTTGGCCTGCAAAGTAGATGAATTCAATGTATCTAGTCCTCAGTTTGTTGGAAACCTTCGGGAGAGTCCTCTTGGACAGGAGAAGGCACTTGAACAGATACTGGAATATGAACTACTTCTTATACAGCAACTTAATTTCCACCTTATTGTCCACAATCCTTACAGACCATTTGAGGGCTTTCTCATCGACTTAAAGGTAAATTTGATATAAAATAAACTAATACTACATTCTCCTTTCCTATTCTTTAACAAAAAGAATCCAAAATTTTAAAACTCATAGTCATCCTCGTTGTTAGAGCATGGATACGACCTGTGGGTCTGGCCTGGTCATCTAGGGCAGTTGTGTTTAAACTTCAGTGGGCATCATCAGTCATCTGGAGAAATTGTTAACTCAGATGGTTGGGTGGGACTTACGGAGTTTCTCATTTAAGTGATCTTCATTACGTCCAGGGATGTAATGAAGACCATTGAGAGTTTAGAACGGTGCTTATTATGGAGGCTTAAGATACCTCTTCTAACTTTGAATTATATTGTCATGGATCTGGGCCTGATTTAAACCATAAAAAATTCTTAAACTAGAAGATTGCTAAGTGACTTATATTTTTAGAGGTTTGTGAACTTGAGTCTCTATGTAGGCATCAATAATATAAGTAAACAAACATTGACAGAAGTAACTTTTAAGTTGTTTTGTTTGGCTCTAAAAGAGAAGTTGGATAGTCAAAGTTGAATCAAACAGAAATCAGGAACTGGTTCGTTCATATTAGATCAGTGGCTTAATTTGGGTATCTTCTGTGTGCCAAACTTTGTGCTTGAGGATGTAACCAGAAACAGGACAGGAACAGTCTCAACTTCTGTGAACCTTGCAATCTAAAGGTTTTAGACAACCATGTATCCATTGTGCTCAATAATACAGAGGGGAAAATATATTTTAGAGGGAGATAACAGATTAAGAGCTAAGGAAAACATTCTGAGAACGTATCATTTAAAGTACAATTCAGAGTAGGAATAGGAGAGAGAAGAACATTCCAATCAGAGACTTCCCTGGTAAAAAGTGCAAATTCAAGAAACCATTCTGTGCTAAACAACCTGAACAGAGCCTAGCAATGCAGGGGGAAGAGATCACAGACAGCTGCTGCCAGAGTGGAAGGCAGAGTCTAGACTGTAGAGACAATGTTACAGATTTTGAATAGAGCAAAGAGAAACCAGTGAAAGGTTTAAATTTAGAGAGTGGCATGATTAGATTTGCAATTTTAAAAGATCATGTTGGCAACCTTATGGATCAGGTATTTACTGTGCATCTGTATATGTCAGGCATAACGTGGAGAATGGATTGGAATAGATTAAGTGAATAACGGGGTACTGTTAAAGGAGTCCAAGCTAAGGATGGTGGTGGTCTTCACTCGTATGAAGGTTGTGGATGCAGAAAGAGCTTCCTGGGCTTCAGAGATACAGGATAAATATCCCTTATCTAAAAAATTTTGGGCCAAAAGTATTTGAGATTTCACTTTTTTTTTTTTTCCCGATTTTGCAATATTTGCATTGTGATTACTGGTTGAGCATCCCAAATCCAAAATCTGAAATGCTCCAGTGAGAACTTCCTGAGTGTCATGTCAGTGCTCAGAAAGTTTCAGATTTTGGAGTATTTCGGATTTTGAATTTTTTGGATTTATGCTCAGCCTGTAGTTAGGTAGAATCAATAGAACATGAGGATTGATTGTATATAGAGATGAGGACAGAGGAAGAACCCCCAAGTTTCTGTCTGGGTGATACTTTTTTTTGTTGTTTTTTGTTTTATGGAAGAGACCGATGCACATTTAAATACTGATGCAAAGAGCTAGTAGTGAGAGAAAGATGAAATACAAAATAGTCTGGAGTAAGGTGGAAGGGGTTGGCATGGGATTTGGAAGCAAGGTAGAAGAACTGGCCTTAGAGGGAATAATAGCTCTTTCTCTTAACAGTGGAAAAGGGGAAATTATGGGCTTAGGATACTGTTATGCCTCAGGATTTGGTGTTGGCAGGAAATAGCGCCTTTCTTTGGTAAGAAATAGTTTTCTGAGAGTGATGGAGTTGCTGAGAATTATCAAAGATGTTAAGACAGATGGAAAATATTTATGCAGTCACTGAAAAATGGGAGAGTAAACTGTCTGTGGAAATACTATGGTAGCTTGGCAGTGTTTAAGAGCCTTGCTGAGGTCAATGAATATGAGTTTACAGTAACATTTCCAGACTTTCTGCTCGTATTGTTTTCTCTGGCAGTACTCAGAAATCTTGGTATAGTTGCAAAGCGAAGTTTGTTGGATTCAACCACTGTTCGACTTCTGGTTTTTCCAGAAATTTGTTGGCAGTGTATCGGGGCAGGGAATTCAGGAGAGAAATGAGGAGCAGAGGACACTGGTGAGTGGGAGCAAGTAGAGAGATAAGTGAGCAAAGGTTCAGAGGAGGAAGAACAGCTGTGAAATAAATGAGTAAATATATTAGAAAGGGAGGCATTGTGGTCAGAGTAGTGGGTCTTAATTTCTCATATCACAGGCGAGGCATTTTTGTACAATTGACTCTTAAATACTTTATTTCAGAGTGTAGAAAAGCTTTCCTACTGCTTTAGGTGTCGTGTCGAACATGGATATCTGAGGACTTCAGATTTATGGTTTATTTTATAGGGTATGAAGAACTGTCAGGAAATAGGAGGTCTTCCACATCTCTTGGGCATATTTTAAAACTTTTTCTGTGGGAATTTGAAGTCTAGTGTGTTCTAATCAAATTGAGATTCATTTTTATTTACTTCTTCCTGAAAGTAAATTTTAAGTAGAAGGAATTTCATATAAAAATAAGGTGTATTCCTAAATGTGGCCTTACATTTGAATCACCTGGGTTGCCTGAGAGAAGCATTTACCTGGGAATATGTATTTCTTGGCCCTACTTTAGACTCAGTGGAATCTCTAAGAGGTTCCCTTCCTTCCCCTTCCTACTCAGGTGGAAAAGGACCAAGAGAAGGAATTAATGTAAATTGAGGACACTGTCAAGTACTGTGCTAGGAACTTTAGATATGTTATAGCACATATTTCTTAATATGAGTTGTGTAATTTTAAACTGTTGTTATACTCCATTTAAACCCTCAGAAATGGTAACATTTGCAAACTTTCTTTCTAGACCCGCTACCCCATATTGGAGAATCCAGAGATTCTGAGGAAAACAGCTGATGACTTTCTTAATAGAATTGCATTGACGGATGCCTACCTTTTATACACACCTTCCCAAATTGCCCTGACTGCCATTTTATCTAGTGCCTCCAGGGCTGGAATTACTATGGAAAGGTATGAATTAGTGTTTTAACTTAGGTCAAATTCAGTCACTGAGTTTATTTATTCATAGAATCATTTCTGACTATAATCTTTAATATTCCTTGTGGCTGGGATGGTTGGTGAAAAGAAGAAATGAAATTGCCTTTTAAGGAAGTCTTTAAACATCATGAAAAATACTGTTGAACTAAGAGGAGGATACATTTAGGATTAAAGTAGGAGTAAACCAGGTGATCCTTGAAAGACTGATATAGCTATCAGTATATGACAAATTTAGAAGGTCCTGTGAACTGGTGAGCAACTTGAGTGCAGCAAATACGTCTGCCTTGTTTTATCTTTATTCCCCTTCTGTAGAGCATGTATGACACGTGGAAGTTAAATATTGTTAACTAACTGAAGCACAAGCTAGCAGCCAATTAGACATTTTTAGTTTCTGTATTAAGTTTCTCAATTTATGACCTTTGAGATTCTGCTTGATTTCATTCTTAGAAATAGCTGAGGAAGAAAGCTGATAAAACTTCCTAAAGTTAATTAAAACTGTTTTACATGATTATAATCCCTTATCCATAATTTCAGAATCCACTGATAAGGTAGCAGCAGATAGAGCAGATTGTATTTAGTTTTTATTTCACTTAATAGGAATATTTGTGTTCCCTTGCAGAAATCTTAATATTCCTGATTATAGACATCACTTGAGTATTTCACATTTCATAATATATGCACCAGATAACTTTTCTAAGACATGAATACTTAAGAATTTCACAACACATCTGCATCTAGGATAAGGGATTGTAGGTTTATATTTTATGATATGCCTCTTCTCTGCAAACACAGCTCACCAACTGTATATAAATACATATATTTAATCCCAAAGTGATTTAAATCTCCACTTATTTACTAAGCAAACATCTATTAAATACCTTCTGTGTACTACTATGCACTGTACTACACTTTAGGAATATGAAAATGAGTAAGATAAATCTCTGCGTTATGAAAGACAGTCATGTAAATTATTGATGTATATGGAGTTAAGATGTGGACTTCCATTAATTTTGGGGGGGTTGGTTGGTTATTATTATTACTTTTTTGAGACGGCATCTCACTCTCACCCAGGCTGGAATGCAGTGGCACAGTCATAGCTCATTGCAGCCTCAACCTCCCAGCCTCAAGCGATCCTCCTACTTCAGTTCGCTGAGTACCTGGGACCACAGGCACACACCACCACACCCTGGCTAATCTTTTTGTTTTTTTGTAGAGTTGGGGTTTCTCTATGTTGCCTAGGTTCATTTCAGTCACTCCTAGACTCAAGTAATCTCCTGCCTAGGCCTCCCAAAGTGCTGGGGTGACAGGTGCACACCACCATACCTGGCCTGCGGACTTCATTCTGTAAGGGAACAAAAGTCCTCTTTTCCACAGTTCAAATAACCAAAAGTCTGATTAATCTTGAAGCATTGTATATAGTGCATATATAAATTCTTCAGTGATGAGATTTTAGTTCATAGAGTGGGATGAAGCATCCTAAGGTCCAGATGAGTTTATTTCATCTTAGAAGTTTAGTTCAGTATAATTCCAGGTAGGCAAAATTGAAATTGTGATACCTTTGGCTCCGTGCAAATTTAATAGGCCTTTGTAACATTCCCAGAGACTAGACATTGGGCCTTCCCCAGCCCCCCTTTTTAGGGAAATGCTTTCCAAACATTTTTAACTTACAGCTGATTTATAGGCAAATTTTTGGGATATGTGGAAATGGGGTTTACATTTATTGCTCATTTCAAAAGGGAAAGCCCCTGTGCTGTTGTCAGAGTCTGGATAATGCCTCAGATTATTAATCATAGGATTATTACCATTATTTCTGGGTTTTCTTTTCTTTCTTGTAGATTTAGAGCTTTATTTCTCATCTGTTACTTTAGGTATTCTTATTTGCCTGTGGATTTTATTAAAACACCACAATATTAAAATTCAAATTCAAAATTGAGGTTGAGTTGCTAACTTCACAGAGCTAATGAGTAGTCAGCAGGCTCTTAGCACCAAACCTATGATCCTTATGCTTAAGAAATCAAAAGGAAATGAAGAGTAAAAATAAAGGAAGATGACAAAAATGGGAGTAATTTTAGGTAGGAAAGGGAAAGGAAAAAACTAGTTATTTTTTACTATAGTTGTCAGGAGAGTTCTTGATTTTCAGATCCAAAATTTATTCCCACAATAGATGATGATGATGTAATGTCAAAGTTATCAAAACTTTATAATAGGCCGGGCGCGGTGGCTCAAGCCTGTAATCCCTGCACTTTGGGAGGCCGAGACGGGCGGATCACGAGGTCAGGAGATCAAGACCATCCTGGTTAACACGGTGAAACCCCCTCTCTACTAAAAAATACAAAAAACTAGCCGGGAGCGGTGGCGGGCGCCTGTAGTCCCAGCTACTCCGGAGGCTGAGGCAGGAGAATGGCGTAAACCCGGGAGGCGGAGCTTGCAGTGAGCTGAGATCTGGCCACTGCACTCCAGCCTGGGCGACAGAGCTAGACTCCGTCTCAAAAAAAACTTTATAATAAAATTTCAATCTGGATAAAGACACAAGAGTTCTTAAAGCATTGCTTTCTATTTTTGTAACTATTACACCCAAGAGAAAAATGATTTTTTTGCATTTGTGTTTGAAAAACTATTTAATACTTTGAGAATCTGTTCATTTGAGCTTTTATCAATTATAGGTCAAGTTCAGGTATGTAAAACTTCAGAGCAACTAAAAATTTAAATATAGAAATTATATTTTCATACTGTCAGCTCTGAGAAAAACAGGTAATTTGGATTTTATATCACATTGATAAAGAAGTTTAACACCTTTGATTTGGACTTGATGCAAATAAGATGTAATAGATTTATAAAGCGTTAGGTGGTTGGTTTGAATGTCTGTTACTTCCCAAAAGTGCAACTATAGGTAAAATGGCTTTCATATTAAGGGAACAGAGAATCCTTACTATTGCCAGATTCCAGTTTTGCTGCTTCCTAGCTTTATTACTTTGGACAAGTTACAAGATCATGACTTGTTCATCCCTGTAACTCAGATTCCTCATCTGTAAAGTAAGGTTAGACTCATTGGGCTTCTATATTAAAAGATATAAATGTTACAAGTACTGACTGTTACTGTTACTTACATACTATTTTGTCTCTGAAAGGTTGTACCTGAATGTCACTAAACTTAAAACATAAACATCTTTTAATGTAATTGCTAATAAATCCTTAAAACATAAGAGTTATAGATTATACATTCATAAATTTAAAAAATTTTTAATTGCCTTTGATGAGGATGGAGGAAAATAATTTATGGTGTCATGTTTTCTCAATGTGCTGTTATCTTTTCAATAGATTACATTTTTTTTCTTTTCTTTACCAGTTATTTATCAGAGAGTCTGATGCTGAGAGAGAACAGAACTTGCCTGTCACAGTTACTAGATATAATGAAAAGTAAGTAAATGAGAACACTTTACAAAATGTTCTTCCAGTACAAAGCTCCTTTCTAAATAAATATCTTGGTGTTTAACTAGAAATACAACATAGATTTTTGTTTAGATTTCTTTTCACTGAATTACTGTATTATGGAAGCATGAAAGACACATTGGTCTAGAACAAATAGAAGGTACATAGAAGGAAGTAGTGTTCATATATATAGAACTTATGCAAAGAGTGAAAATAGAGTCCGATTTAGAAAGGATTTAGAGATTGACAACAGGATCCTTTTAAAGAATAAAGAAACATACTAGGCACTGAAAAAGATGTAATGGGAAATAAGGATAATGTTTAAATTTGTAACTTCTATTTTGTAGATAAATTATTTTTTTAAGAGAAAGGTAGAAGAAGATTTGACACACTCAGAGAAGGCACCGTTAAGACAGCAGAGAAAGATTTAAAGATGCTTGCCTTGAAAATTGGAGTGATGTGGTTGCAAGCCAAAGGAAGCAGGCAGCCACTGGAAGCTGGAACAGGCAAGGAATGGATTTATCCCTGGAGCCTCCAGAGAGAGTGTGGCCCTTCCAGCACCTTAATTTTGGCGCAGTGAAACAGATTTCAGACTTCTGGGCTCCAGAACTATGAGATAATAGATTTCCATTGTTTTAAGCCGTCACGTTTGTGATAATTTTAATAGCAAGGTTGGGAAAATAATGCAGCCCTGAATAACCCAAGATTTATCCAGCCCAAAACGTTGTGAGTGCTGGTGTTGAGAAACCCTGTCCTGAGTTGAGTAGAATCTCTACTTATTGGCTGAATTAACCAGCATTCTCCATTCCTCATTCTTGCCCATGGCACACTTGGTCATGGCTGCTAAGCTACTCTTTGGGGTTAAAAGTCAATCATGTGGCCGGGTGCGGTGGCTCATGCCTGTAACCTCAGCACTTTGGGAGGCCGAGGTGGGCAGATCACGAGGTCAGGAGATGGAGACCATCCTGGTGAACACGGTGAAACCGCATCTCTACTAAAAATACAAAAAATTAGCCGGGCATGGTGGTGGGCACCTGTAGTCCCAGCTACTCGGGAGGCTGAGGCAGGAGAATGGCGTGAACCCGGGGAGCAGAGCTTGCAGTGAGCAGAGATTGCGCCACTGCACTCCAGCCTGGGTGACAGAGTCAGACTCCATCTCAAAAAAAAAAAAAAAGTCAATCATGTTTGTTTCCAAACCTTGTGTAAATTGTTCTTGTTAATTAAATTTGTAATGTAATTAAATGTTAAACCAGTAAAATACAAGATTGAAATCTTGATCTTCGATGACAGTAAATGGGTATACATTTTACATATTTTGTGTTTTAAAATTTAAGATGCTTCAGGGCATCTCTATCATTTCTTGATTCTCTGCTCGAAGTGATCCTGAGGGCTTCCTTCTTGGAGAATGATGGCTGTGGTTTATGAGTTATAAACTGTAGGTCTTTAGTTATACCACTAGGGGGTTCACTTTAAAAGCTAATTGTGATGTGACTGTAGCTGTTAGGATCATAGAACTTAGTAGGTAAAGGGGGCCTTATTCCAGTGTACTCATTTCATAGCTTAGTTTTATTACTGATTTCTTCTCAATACCTTTGTTTTGCTCCACTTATTTTAAAATGAAATAAAAACAGCTCTTTATGAAACACTCAGAAGTTTAATGCTACTAAGATATTGGTAATTTTTGGAACACAGATACTGTCCTAAGGGTGTTGAGTTACAAGTATTAATTCAATTAAAAATACTGTTTTGTTTGCATTATGAAATAGGTCACTAGTGTAGTCATTTGGATCACATGGCTGGCTAACAGTAATAATAAGCTCATTGGATCTCTCATTATTCCCCTAATGTTGAAATTGGTATTCTTTGGTTTATTATAGTTGAATAACAAGATCAGCTAGAGGATGCTTTTGCAATTATAAAGTTACTGATATAGTAGTTTGCTTTTAACCTGAAGTGGACATTTTTGTATAGGGTCTGCTTTTTGTTAAAGCAAAGGATTATTAACAAATTTTTACTAAGCATCCTTCCTTTATTGCATGTTGTGTAATAACAGTTTACTTTGTAAAGAGGAAGTATACTGTTGGCCCACTGTCTGTGGAATAGAATATTACAAAGATGGTTGGTGATAGAGAACAAAACATGTTCACTAAATCATTTAGGGATTTTTTTTTTTAAGTCTTAAAACTGAACAAGAAGTGACCCCAGTAGGATTTGCAAAAAATACTAGATTATACAGTGTGCTTTATGTTATATATGATATGGGCTAAACAGCAGAGAGCCATAATTACTTCAACTAAACATGCAGTGCTTATTGGATTTTAATGTACAATGAAATGCAGAATGATGCAAATCCTGAGAAGAATAACCATGTCATTTGCAGGGTGTTTTGTTGTTTCCTATAACAAAATGGAAAAGTAACCAGCTCCGCTACTATAAGAAGGTTTGCTTATTCAGTTTAAATTCTTTTTTGTATCCACATAGGCATGAGAAACTTAGTAAAAAAGTATGAACCACCCAGATCTGAAGAAGTTGCTGTTCTGAAACAGAAGTTGGAGCGATGTCATTCTGCTGAGCTTGCACTTAATGTAATCACGTAAGTTGATGTGACAGTGTTAATCAATAGACATAATTGTCACCCAGTCCAACTGGTTCGTAAATCATTTTATTGGTGTTTGCTCATTTGAGGAAAGCTGACTGATCCATTAAATCAGATTTTCTTTATTGAGTGGACATTTCTAATGAGATTAAGTTAATAGTTTGGCATTCACTGTGCAGTTCTGATCCTGCTGTGACTCATATGTTCTTTGGCTTGCAGGCCATTCTGTTCTGTTACTTCTCATGGGATTTCAGGGATCAGGGTCTTCCTAAGGAATCCTTTTACCTTTTCCTGTCCTTTTAATCTTTGGTCTCTCTGAAGCTGTGATACCTGGTCTGAGGAACAAATATGCTGTTCCAGACTTCTGTTAGTTAGCTAGAGTAGGGAAAGTTGGCATACTTGCTTTCAGTGACAAACTTTATATTGACGATAAAGCCAGTAGGAAAATAGGCTATTTAATTTCTTCTTGTAGCTAGACATAACACCTTTAATGTCTCTTAATTGATATATAAGCTGAATGTGGAAATCACCATAAAATTGGCAATGCATGCTTTGTAAATTGAAAGATCCACTTAAACTTTCTCTTTTAGGTGTTTAAGCAGTTGGGAATTTGGACAGGTACTAGGATTAATTAAACTGTCATTTTCTATTTCCTTTGGGATGCATTTTGTTACTTAAAATTATACTGTATTTGTTAAAATTATTAAGAGTTATCTGTGGCATTTTATATTTAAGATGTATTGAGGTATTATTTCTGTAATTGGTGAATATGTGCTGCTGGATACCTATGAAAAGCCAGAACAGCATTCCAAGGCCCTTATGTCAAATACACATGATTCAAATTCCTTACCTATACAGTTGTAGTCGGGGAATATCTAGGGAGTTAGGAAGTGTGCAGAATATGAGGTTGTTTTATTATAGTTAGAGCTATAATGACAAAGCATGATTTAGCACAGAATTTGAAATTGGTGGATTCCATTCACTCCCGGGTTTCAGTGGTAACAGGAATTTTTCAGAGTGGTTACAGAGAAGTTATGTTGGCTTTAATGAATAAAAGTATTGCAGCACTGATTATGTTCTTTTTGCATTGATTTTGAAATGGGATTAGACCAGGGGTTGGCAAACTGTGACCTATCAGGCCTATCCAGCCCATTAGCTGTCTTTAGAACAGTTTCTTGGAATGTAGCACACCCATTCGTTTATGTATCACCTATGGCTATTTTCATGATACAGCAGAAAAGTTAGGTAGTTGAAACAGAAACTGATTATAGGGCCTTGCAAGGCCTAAAATATTTACTGTCTCTTTAAAGTTTATCCACCCCTGGATTAGACCACTGAACTATTAATCCTACCTTTTCTAGCTAAGTAACTGAATGGACCATAATCCAGAATTCCTAACTACCATAGCTTACATTTTATTCCAGAGTGCCATCTGCCTTGTACTGGGTGGGCCAAGCAAATTCTGAATACCTATGAGTACTTGAGGGGTGCTTCTCAAACTGTGAAGGACTTTTTTAAAAAAATTCACTAGATGTATACTTGTGTAAAATTCAATAAAAAATGAATTACTAGAAGAGTGAAGACTAAAAACATAAGCTCAAGTTTTATTAGATTCAATAGTCATAAAGTTATATCAGATTACTATTAAAAATTTCTAGGGCTGGGCACAGTGGCTTATACCTGTAATCCCAGCACTTTGGGAGGCTGAGGCAGGCAGATCACCTGAGGTCGGGAGTTCGAGACCAGCCAGCCTGGCCAACATGGTGAAACACCGTCTCTACTAAAAATACAATAATTAGCCAGACGTGGTGGCGGGTGCCTGTAATTCCAGCTACTTGGAAGACTGAGGCAGGGAGAACTGCTTGAACCCCGGAGGGGTCACAGTGAGCCGAGATCACGCCATTGCACCCCAGCCTGGGCAACAGAGCGAGACTGTCTCAAAAAAAGAAAAAAAAAAACCTTCCAAACACAATTCCTATACTTAACTCACTGCAAACTGTGCAAACTGTTCATGGAACAGCCCTGGTACTCACTACCATGAGTAGTGCTACTTTAGGACTAAATATTTGTTTTCCTTGATCTTCAAAATTATTTTACCTTTATTTTTCATGACACAAAAACTGTTTGGTCCTTGTCAGTCAATACAAGTGAAACCAAAGTTCCCTTTGATCAAAACCCAAATCTGTCATGACCTCAGAAGTTACTTAGCAGTTGTTTACCTTTGTCAGCCTTTTCTCTGCACGTATATCCATATGTATTTATGAAATAAGTCACATTTTCTTCTTCTTTGCATCTTTCATACATATTGTACAACGTGTAATTATCAATGCTTAGCTTTTGCTAGTCTGAGTGAAAAAGTATTACATTGGTATTTTAATTTGCATTTTCTTGATTATGGGGCATTGAAGTTTCCACGTTTAACAGTCACTTATATTTCTACTGTGTTGCTTATTTATTCCCCTTGTCCAATTTTCTGGCTTTTTTTTTTTTTTGAGATGGAGTCTTGCTGTGTCACCCAGGCCTGAGTGCAGTGGCGCGATCTCACTGCAACCTCTGCCTCCCGGTTCAAGCAATTCTCCTGCCTCAGCCTTCCAAATAGCTGGGACGACAGGTGCATGCCACCACGCCCGGCTAGTTTTATTTTTTGTATTTTTAGTAGAGATGGGATTTCACCATGTTAGCCAAGGATGGTCTCAAGCTCCTGACCCCCGCCCACCTCAGCCTCCCGAAGTGCTGGGATTACAGGCGTGAGCCACCGCGCCTGGCCACATTTTTGTGGTTTGTAGTGCTTTATAGATTCTATATACAGTCATTCTTCAGTATCCATGGGGGATTGGTTTCAGGACTTTCTGCTGATAACCAAAATCCACAGATGCCCTAATACAAAATGGTGTATTTGCATATAACCTGTACACATCCTCCCATATACTTTAAATCATCTCTAGATTACTTATAATACCTAAATACAATGTGAATGCTATGTAAATAGTTATCATACTGTATTCTTGAGGGAATAATGACAAAGTCTGTACGTGTTCAGTACAGATAGAATTTTTTTCCTTATTTTCAATCCGCAATTGGTTGAGTCCACAGATGTGGAAACCACAGGATACAGAAGGCTGATTGTACTTATTTATATATGATATATTCTATTGTTTTTCACAACTTTTTTCCAAATACTAATTTTTGCCCCAGCTCCCATACCCCCACTATTTTGAGAAAGTCTGTGTCATCCAGGTGGAGTGCAGTGGCTCGATCTTTGCTCACTGTACCCTCTGCTGTCTGGGCTCAAGTGATCTTCCCACCTCAGCCTCTCGAGTAGCTGGGACTACAGGTGCTCAACCACGTTGGTTAATTTTTTTATTTTTTTTGTAGAGACAAGGTTTCGCCACATTGCTCAGGCTGGTCTCAAATTCCTGGGCTCAAGCGATCTGCCGCCTCGGCCTCCTAAAGTGCTGGGATTACAATTGTAAGCCCCTGTGCCCGGCAGGTCCCGGCTCATTTTTTATTTCATGTTTTTCCTAGTTATTTGAAACAGTTTTTATCACACATTAAATTTGTACTTCTGCATAGTCATTACTTTGCTTAATCTAGTCTGATCATTGATTTATGATCTCACTTTTAATTACCATAGCTTTTGTAATATCTCACTTTTAATTACCATAGCTTTTGTAGTATGCTTTGAAGATAACTGGGACAAGGTCTTCCAACATTGTTCTTTTTTATATTCTCTATTTTTTCACACTTCTTCCTAGGTCAGTGTTAGACTTGACAAATTCCATGAAAAATTTTATTGGGGTTTTAATTAGAATTGCATTTAATTTAAAGATTGATTTTAAAAGTATCATTTTCCCTACCCATAACTCTTCATCTTTTTCCATTTATCCAGGCCTGTGTTTTTCAGTATATACATGATATTGCATATAGCCTTGCTAGTTTATTTTACATTTTATAGTATCTGTGGCTGGTATTAGATTTCTTATTGATAGTTGCATAATTATAGGAAGAAGAGGAAAGGCTATGAAGATGATGATTACGTCTCAAAGAAATCCAAACATGAGGAGGTATGTTTTACTCCAAAGATGAACTCTAAGTCATTTTTGTTACACATTCTGGTGTGATTATACTATTAAGATTTGTTCTCCAAGAGTATAAGCATTATAGAGTTGTGGGTTTTTTCATTTTTTGCATACTTCCTTACGTACAGTACTGTTGTCCATTATTAAAGGGATTTTTCTCTCTTCTGTCTTTGCTTGATGAAAAATCCTTCTTGTGTTCATAGAAAGCAGAAGCAATATGCATACATACTACATTTTTGCTTTATTTCTTATTTTCCAAGGATTTTTCCCTTACCCCCTTTTAAAAACAAATTTTCTGTCAAGTCAGGTAAGTGAATAATCAGAGGCAGAAGGTCACAGTTGTAACCTTTATTCCTCATTGGAGTAGTCTGGTGAGACCATGCCAACATTACTAACAGTGAACTATTACAAAATTTCCTGGTTTATCTTTTGTAATCCACATGGGTAAAAGGAGAACATTTTCCTAAAGGGAGGTAAGAGGTAAACAATACTGGTTATGCTTCAGTGTTATCCTTACCACACTTTTTTTCCTTCTTAGGAAGAATGGACTGACGACGACCTGGTAGAATCTCTCTAACCATTTGAAGTTGATTTCTCAATGCTAACTAATCAAGAGAAGTAGGAAGCATATCAAGCGTTTAACTTTATTTAAAAAGTGTAATGTGAAAACAAAATATATTAAAACTTTTCTATTACTTTCTTTCCCTTTCACAGTAACTTTATGTAAAATAAACCATCTTCAAAAGAGCTAGAATAGCACCTGTTTTGAATATTCTTATTCCATCATGACTAATATAAAATTAAAGCTGCAACTTACTTGCCTAATTTTTTAAGCAAAATATGATAGGCAAACCTATGCTTTTTTAAGAAAAAGGCACCACAAAAACCAAAACTTAGTAGCTAGCTTTAAAAGTGTTAAGGAATGTGTTTTGCCCTCTAGAAACCTTTATAAATGGCTTTTTGAATGCCATCCTGATACATTTAGCTATTTGTCCACTACTATTAAACTGCAGAAGGTATTTCAACTATTACATGGTACTGAAAGCCAGTTGTCTGGGTAATGAATATTATTTGTTTTCTTTACTTACCCAAAAACATTTCCAAATGGGTTTTTTTTAAAAAAACAAATATATGATTTTGAATAGCTGTCTACATCAAACTCTTAGGCTAGTATAGATAAGTAGGCAGAAGCCACTTGTATATTCAGTTACGGTTTTTTAATTTTGTTTTGATGTAGGGTCTTGCTGTGTTGCCCAGGCTGTCTCAAACTCCTAGGCGCTAGTGATCCTCTGCCTCAGTTTCCTGAGTAATTGGGACTGCAGGCATACGTCACCACAGCCTTTAATTAACTTATTAGATCACCTATAAGTGAATCCGTGTAAGTAGATTATAACAGTTACTAGGAATTGTGCAGACCAAATATGTTCGAAAAATGTAATTCAAATTGAAATGAGTCAATTTAAAAATATAAAAGCACAGACTATTACAACAAATTACTTAGATATGAATCATGGCTGCCTCTGTTTCACTGTGACCTTGGTAAGTTATTAAATCTCTAACTGCCAGTTTCCCACACTGAAAATGGGGAAAATAATAATGCCCACTCTTTATAGGATTAATTAGAACAGTACCTGCATACACTTAAGTATTCAGTAATTGCTAACTGTTATAATTGGAACCGAACTGTGGCTGGCTGTATATCAAGCCAGAATTCTTTTCAGGAAAACTGGCTTGAAGGAATTCCGAGTAATTCAAGTGTCCTAAATCTAATTAAATTGCACAGATACACACACCTCCTCAGTCTCAGTACATCCCAGGCTGTACTTTCCAGAAAGGTAAGTACCATTATAATTACATCTGCTTTAAGGCAATGCTTACTATGTGCATATTCATCTCTCTAACAATTCTTCAAACTGTAGGCTTGAGTTTTGTGGGGTGTTTTTTTGTTTTGTTTTGTTTTGTTTTTTCCCTCATTCTGGAGTGAAAGGAATAAAATTCATGATGTGAGATTTTACAAAAGCAGAGTGGAAGAAGCCAAAAGTTATAAATCCTCCATCGTGGTCCTAGTTAAGTACATTGCTTCTAGGCTCTAGACAGAATTACAAGATGTTCACAGTTTTTCTCATTTTCCCTTTCAGATCGCCAAACTTTGGCATCAGAGCAAGGTCCACACTTATCACTGAAAATTTTCCCACCCAGCCCCATTAAAAAAGTTAAAGTGTGAGAGATTGTATTTCAACACTGACAAGCTAGTTACTACAGGGCCCACAAAGGTAAGTAACAAGTTTCCATTTCAACTTGAGAGACAAATGATGTTAAAATATAAGAAGCAGGATGAGTCAGGTTTGTGATTTTAAATAAAAGGGAGAAGGATTTCAGACTGAGGAATGACAGGTTAGTATGGCTAAAGATTGAGGCGTGATTAGTGGGAACCAAAGTGCATAGCAAAATATCTTGACTAGTCCATATCCTCCTTGTCTTCTATCATGTAACTAAGGAAGGAGACCACCTGGGTTGTTCCAAGTCCAGCTATAAAACAGAAGGGATGGAAAGGAGAGTAATTTGATAAAAAAGCCAGGAAGGGAGAGAATGGAATGAATTGAGTGGATTTCAAGGAAAAGGAGCACGGGACATGTTGAGATTTTTGGTATCAATGTTAAACTGTGATTGAAGCCACAGAGGTTAGCAGCCCCCATAGAAATAATTGCCTTTTGTAGCTTGAAACTGTTAAGCAGACATCTTTTAAACCTTTAGCATTGTTTTTTTCCTGTATTTTATACATTAGAGGAATAGCATAAAGTGTTGCTCTTGGAATCTAGGCCTTTCCTTACTGTAAGAACACCTCCTTGGGTTCCTGTCTCACTCACTTTTATTACCAATGTCATTCTGCCACATATGTTCCATATGTCATACCTGCCCTGCACAATTATGAGATGGAAGGAATTGTTGCATATATAGAATCCTTTTCAAAAGAGGCCATTAGCAAAAATACTGATCTAAAGCTTCAGCTTCTCCCTGGGCCTTGCTCTGGTGCTAAGGTTTAAACTGCCCCTGAAGGAGGAAGAAAATAAACAAATTAAATGCTTAGCTCTATTTAGACAGAAGTAATCAATTATGCAAGATATCCCTTGGTTTTATTTTAACTTAACCTTTGTGAATACTTCACAAAAATACACATACAGAAGTAAATAAAACTATACAGTTGAACTAAATGTCAGCAGATACAACAAGTAGTCAGAAGTTCAAAGATGGATAAGTTAGGCAGCTGATGAGGTTTGTCTGCATAATCAAAGGGGTAGGGTAGCACAAATAATGAACAAATAACTTTTAACAAAAACATTCTAGTTAACATAAAATAAACTGGTAGTCTATGAAATGAAGGGGTAACATGCATTGATCAATACAACAACCAATAATATTTACTGAATTCAAACTATTTACTGTTGTAAACATTTAACAAAGCATTATGAGATCTAAATACAGTCTTTGACAATTTCAACAAAATAAGTAGTATGTTTAAAAAATAAAGCTGATGAGCAATAGATCATTCTATATATTTTCTTTCAACAGTTCCAGCAAGAGAAATAGCACAGTATTTTTTAAAAGTATACAGCAAAGATTGTTCCTATTATAATGACAAACTCTGGAAACTGTAAATACAAATAATCATTGAACAGTCAAATGGTCATATTCCTAATCAGGAAGTAGTTACAGTAAGAACAGTCTGCAATCCAGTTATACACAATTGTCAATAAGAGAATGTGTCAGTTGATTTCATAGTTCTTTAAGAGACAGCAAAACTTTGGCAACTGGGTGTACTGAAAATATATTTTCAAAGTTCAAGATACAGTCATAGCATTTTGTTTTGTGAAAGGTGATCTGTACACCAAGGCTCAGAGGTTGTTAAAGATTGATTCCATGTGGAAATAGTGCAAATATCCTGCACAGATAGCTTACAAGGTTGCTGGCATAGTTATGCACTAGCAGAATCTTGGATTTTGTTTGCATAGCTCACACATCATTGGAATGTGGAAAAGTGTGCTATTTTTTGGCAAGAGCAAAGGAGATATTATACTGAAGTGAATTACCATGTTGGGCATGATGAATCCATGCAGAACACTGGGGCGAAGGCTGCTACCTGACATCATTGGTTTTTGTATACTGGTTTTGTTTTTGTTGAAGCAGTTCTGTTATAGCCAGAAGCTTTTTCAGTACGTGCTAGACAGAGGAAAAATGGTATGAAAATAAATGAAAGCTCGGTCAGCAATTTCAGGATGGGAACCTGGATTTGAAAAAAGCCATATCAAAGCAAAGGGATGCATAAAATATTAGCACAATTCCACTGAAAACATAAGTTTCTATTATTCAGTCATTGGCTGAGTATTTCTGGTCATAACTAAGATAATTTTTATATATGGTGAACAGAAATTTGTGTTTGGCATGCTCCTGTTTTTTAGGCCAGAACTATCACTATCACATTTTGCCAGAAGCAGTTTACCTCTCTTTAAAGGTCTTTTAATTTAATATTTAAGGCAAGTCATATTATTAGTTTTGAAAGCTGGGGGGCTGGGAGGAACAGGACTTGAGGATTCTAGAATCTCAGATTGTAGAGAACTCAGTCACCAAATTCAATGTTTTAATCCCTTCTACAAAATCCCTGCCAAATGGTTAGCCAGTGCAGTGACAGCATTCACTATCTCCTGAAACTACATTAGAAACTAGTCAAAACTGTCCCTGTGGTCACTTCTTCTCAGTGGCCCTTATGTCAGCTGAGGACATTGAAAATGTAACCCATTTTGTTTTGTATCTCCAGTATCTTAACTGACCTGGTGTTAAGTCTCTTTGAATACATCCTAATCTGTATCTGTTTGGTGCAGATGGCAGATAGAAGTCTATCAATGTAGTCTACTGTTTCTCAAAAGTGTAGGCCATGGTTCACTTGCATCAGAATCCCTATAAATTCCTGTAAGAGTTTGCTAGATGTGCAGCTTTCAAGGCCACACTTCAGAATCTCTGGATGTGAATTTGACAAACATCCCAAATAATAATCATTTGTTTCACAATTTGAGAATCACTTTGGCCATGCACTGTATCTGTATGTGACACAGAAGAGACAGAAACTGAAAGAAAAAAATCAATACTGACTTACTAGCCATTTTCACATACGTCGCCAAAGTATGTTAACAGTTACACTGCTTTCCAGTAGAATTAAGTTGCAGACTCAAGAGCAAAACCTGATGTTTTTCAATATTAAATGTACATCATTTTAGTGTGGGCCCGTTATTTCTGTCTGCTGAGATCTTTTGTTAATATGATGCAGAGTCTCAAAAATTTAATGTAACAAGAAAAAATGTTAACCAGAATTCAGTTATTTATTACCTCTCAAAGTGTTATCCTTGAAACATCATTGTTAATGAAGGCTGGCAAAAGCCTACCTGCTGTGCACCACGCTCATTACTGAGCGTTCGAAGTTCATCTGAATGAGCCACACAAATCTCATGCAGTGCTGCCAAATCACGGGACAGGTCCGTTCTAGAATGTTCTGTAGTGTCCGGAAGTTCAGGTACGTTCTTTAAGGGAATTGTAAAATTGCATTTAGAAATACAAATCTTTTTTTTTTTTTTTAATTTTTTGAGACAGAGTTTCGCTCTTGTTGCCCAGGCTGTAGTGTGATGGCATGATCTCGGCTCACTGCAACCTCCGCCTCCCGGGTTCAAGCGATTCTCCTGCCTCAGCCTCCCAAGTAGCTAGGATTACAGGTGCCTGCCACCATGCCTGGCTAATTTTTTGTTAGAAATACAAATCTTTATAGTCTCACGTGAAAATATTCTAATTGAGTATATTAGATAATTTTTTTAAATTCTCAAATTTCTTAAAATTCTGAAGATTCTTACTGAAATATAAAATTCAGCATTAATGATGGTAAAATATAGACTCTGTAACCTTTGTATTCACATGAAAGCCAGATTCTATTTTTTTCCATAGCATGACAGATGTGGTACAATATTATTGCTATTCTAAAAATAAGGGTTGGGGGATGTGGCTTCCTAACAATTAGCTTTATATCTGAAATACAGAACATATGCCAAATAGTGTAGGTTAACTGCTAATCTGGATTAAATGCAGCCTATAACTTAAAATTCCTAGATGAAATTTCATTATTAAGCTCCTGTAGTTTGCCTAAGTTGATATACATATAAGTAGGAACTGCACTATGAAAATGCAGTGAGAACATGTCAAGTTAGACATTATCTGTGGACTGTGTTCAGAATACGTGCTAATGTGTGGAAATAATCAGTGTTAATTATGGTACTTTCAGATAAGGTTCATAAAGTAACTTAGTCACTATAATTAAAGTTTATAGTATAGGTTGACTATCACCCAAAATGCTTGGGACTAGAAGTGTTTCAGATTTTGGAATATATGCAGTATACTTGCCAGTTGAGCATCTCAAATCCAAAAATCCAGAATTGGAAATTTTCCAAATAGCATTTCCTGTTGGTGCCCAACAAGTTTTGGATTTTTTTAGCATTTCAGATTAGGGATACTCAACCTGTACTTTATTATCAACACTAAATGGCAGTGTTCTTTTAAGCCTTGGAATAACATTTAACAAAGGCTTGGATTACCAGTAAAATGGTGACAGTATTTGCTTTACACTGCTAAAAACTGCAAAACAATGTTTTCTATGGGATAGAGAAACACGGTTATACAGGATATATTCATTCAGTGATTAAAGGATTATAGCGATGAAAGACACTATATTTGCCTTCAGAGAACTGACTCTAGTACAAAGGACTTTAGAAAAAGTAATCATAGCAACACAGAGTTTATATATCACAGATATGCAGGGGATGCTTAGGAGGTAAAACAAAAGTTACTTTATTCACGTTTGGGGCTCAGCAAAAGCTTCCTGAAGGCGATAATAATTGAAGTGGGTCTTCAAAAATAAATTTGGCTTATACAGATGGTATACAGATGGTAAAGAAATATAATAGTATTATATTTGGATTCTAAGCAGTATGAAATCCTAGATTGTGTGGCATAATTTCTCACATAGTTCCTTAAACATAGTAAAAATGTTTTCCAATGATCAACTATATCCCAGTTCACATACAGAAGCATGATGGACTTTTAGCTTGTCAATTTCACTATATAGAGCTATGCCATAATTTTTCATACACTAAACTAGTGACTCATAGGCATTCCTGATTTGTTTGCCACAAATTGTGGTGGTCTTTTTAACTGAACCTGAATATATTAAGACAGAACATGGACACCTCAATCTCCAATCCTAGCACTCCCTAATGCCATGCCTTATACCTGGCTCTATTCACATGTACATGTACCTTGCTGGTTTCCCTATATATGAACTGAATTATTAATAAGTTTAGTTTAAAACTGACTCAGTACCTGAAAATCTGTACAATCATGATAATTTAACTCTTAAAGGCAGGGTCCTAGAAATTATAAAATACCCTCATTCATAATTTTGTAATCACATTTTATTAACAAGGCCCAAATGAGGCATAGATATTCACACTGAATGAAGTGTAACACCAAATCCATGTCTTTTATTCCTAGAAAAGAAGACTTTCCAGTCTATTATTTAACCTGGTCAGAACTGTGTCATCGTCTTGCTTCAAGCCCCACATAGTAGCAGCAAAGTAAAAAAGCTAAGGAGGCAACAAAATGTCATGGCAGTCAGATGTGATAGCTTTAAAAGGATATGAAAAACAAGACGGACCCTAAAAAATGATGGAAGTAGTCTAAAAGCCACAATAATGTATGCTTTGGTTTAAGAATAAATAGTTTTAATTACAAACAAAAATGCTGTTTTTTGTTTAGGAAGGCAGACAAAAATTTGCAGGCTTTTTGTCTTTTTAGTTTTGGATAGAAAAATCTTTCTAAAGATTGCTGCTTAAATGGGTTAACTCAGCTATGCCAACTCTAAGTCTTTAAAAAGTACCTAAAAACTATATACATACCCCAAGTTCATCTAAAAACATGATCATACGATGTTTGTTGCTTTTGATGAATGGATTGACACCTTCCATGTAGGGCTCCTGAAAAATAGAATGCTTATATTATATGCAGCGGAAACAAACCACTGTTTGACCTATTAGGTTGGTGCAAAAGTAATTACGGTTAACAGCAAAACCTGCAGTTACTTTCGCACCAAATTAATATAGCAAAACCCATACATGTAGCAATACTTCTTATAAATCAGGTATAGCAGCAGCAACACATTCACAAGAATTAATTAAATCATATAATGACAGTATTTTCCTTCTAGTATATAAGCAAATGGCTATACTGAGGAGTATGGGCATTTTTAATGAAAGAAAATTCTGAACCCAAGCACAAATCATAACACGCAGACTGGCAGACACAAATTGCTTATATATAAAATCACTCAAACATGGCCCCAAATCATAGGTTCGAATCCAGCAGAGATTACAGGGAATTAAAATACAATATAATGAAGACTGCAATAGGAAAATATCTTATTTGTAACCTGCTTCAAGATTCAGATGAATTCAAAACCTAGGCCATACATGTTTACTGCTCATCATACTAAAATCCTGACTACTTAAAACTATGCTATAAATAGGGAAAAGGTTAAGATTAACACACTCGTAAAAATCAATAAGAAAATGAGACAAGGACCTCAACAGGCAATTCCAAAGATAGAGACAATGAAAGTCTCTCTAACAGTAATAAAACAATGAAATACAAAATATTCTGCCTATCAAATTGGCAGAAAAGAAAAAAGTATAGTACCCACTGAGTTTTGGCAAGGCTGTGAGGAGCAACAAAAGAATTTTAAGTTGCTGACAGGAAATCTTGTAATACATAGCAAAGCCTAAAACATGTATTAGTAATTTTACTCCTAAGTTCAGCTAATAATTGAACAAGTATGAAAGGAAATGTATGTAAGGATATATGTTACAACAATAACAGGGACAAATTGGAAGCCATCTAAATATCCATTATTAAGAATAATGAAAGAGTTATCTATTTCCACATATGGCAGGAAGTCTGTCACGTATTAGGTGACAAAAGCAGGAGGCATGATATGATACCAACTTAATATTAGTCATTATCCTTAGACAGTACAGTTACATGTAGGTGTCAAAAAAAAAACAACAAAAAAACGAGTTAATATTTACAGTGAAGGTTTACTGTGAAATAAAATTAGTGAATTTTTGTATTAAAATGTACTCATTTATTATTTTTATGTTAAAAGTGGGAGAATTTGAGTACACTGGACCTTGAAAAATTTGTTTTCTATAATGGCTAAAGTGGTGTTTTTTAAAATTCCACTATTAAAATGTAAAATTTAAACAAGATGCTTTAAACACAAACATACAAACAAAAATAATCTTTCATTGCTAAAAACTTCACTTAAGCCAAATTTTATCGTTTTATCATGTCAAACTTGCAGTCATAAATTACATTTTAAAGTATCAAAATGTTTTTACCTTAGCTCCAAATTCCACAAGATTTGCTAAGTTCTGCACAGATTTAGCCACTAATATTAGTGTTCTTGCAGCAATAGGAGATGGGGAATCTGGAAGAGAATTGGGCACAGCTAATGACACCAACTCCAACAGCACTTTCAGCTAAACCATTATAAATTTAGCACTTTAACATTTCTTTACTGTTACACTACTACCCATTCTTCCATTCAGAACTCAGAATGTTTTTTGAAAAATCTTTTTCGAAAAATTTGTGATCTGTATAATTCAAAAGAACTTGAGTTAAAAGAGGAAAACTGAATATGCTTATCAGTGCTTCTAGGCTTGTGAAAAGGGTACTACAAAACGCAGCAATTTCCAATGGTTGATACTATTTCAGAGGACCTCAAAGCTTTACCTTTACCACTAAAAAAGACTGTCACTCTCACATGTTTTGTGACAGTTCACAAAGCTAGTTTCAGCCTACTCAGGTTAGCAATCTGAGCAATTCCGTGCTCCCGACATTATCTGCAATCCAAATAAGTCACTTAAAGCGCAAGAAGCAAGATAAAATCTAGGACCTCTGCTTTATTTTGAGGAGAAAAACATGAAATTTAATAAACTTTTAAAATATTTTAAAGGTAAATCAGGAGGCATTTCCCTGTAGAACACAGATAAGTAGGATGTAAATGACAAGTATTGGTGTCTATTAAATATAAGCTCTGGAACTTAATTATTTAACAGTAAAATCCCATAGATAATCTACCTGACTGCCTAGTTTTAGATAGTGGTGTCTGAGGCAAACATTCAGATAAATTTCTCCAAAAGAATTTCAAACCCTTAATCTTAATGGATTTGTAGATTTAACCACTTTAGTAGCAATAAAAGATAATTACAGAGACGCAAAACATTTTTAATACAATTTTGAGCTTCAGATTATTAAGGTAAAAATTCTGGTTCCTACTGTTTATAATGGTTCATTATTACATTCAAAGTCACAAATATCCCTGTTACGCTTTCTTTGAAAGAAGTGTGTAACACCTGAAAGTCATCTCAAAATGGGTATATGGGTAATAAAACTGGATCAGGTTTACTGAAGTTTAAAATGGCCAATTTACACTATATAACTGGTGACTTTAAAAATCTCTAACGGGAGGAACCAGGACTGCTTTCTTCATGCGTACGCACAGAATACTATTCTAACTGTAGATACCATTTAATTTGATCTTGAAGATCCAGCTGGCAGCAGTCTAGCAATGGGCTAAGCAAAGCTCTTCCCAACTTGAAAAAGCCAAGTTGCAGACTACAAGAAGTTATTTATTATAAAGGTTTTAGACACAATAGGGTCAGAAAAAAAGGTGGAATGTGTGTAATCATGCCATCTCAGATTAGATATGAGATGGAAGAAAAGAAACAAAAAGAAAAAAGCCGAAGAAGCACAAGGAAGGAAGGGTGCTTTGGAATACTTTATATATGCCAAGACTAGAATTGGATAATCAAAAAAAAAAAAAAAAAAAACACTAGATTTAATTTATTTTAAGAGTATTCTTACCTAACAGTGTGAAACTGTTAATTGTAATTTTTTGAATTTTGAAATTTATCAAAAGCTGATTACCTGAGATGATATTGAACATCCGTGGATTCAGGATGGCAGGACAGATGAGTCGAAGAAAAACAAAACCACTGAATGGGAGGGAAATTTTTTTTTTTTTTTTTAGAAAACACATACGTAATGTGTTACATTAAAACAATACATATAAAACAGAATTTTTAGTACTCATAGAACCATAAACTTCACTCTAAACCAATAAAAGGAAGCCCAGACACAGAAAACTTTAAGAAAACAGTAAGCCAAAGCATCATATTTTAAGAATATATATATATATCTGCTTCCTGAATGTATTACTCACTTTTCCCAATTTAGAATTTGGATTAACTTTGGGAAAATGTTGTTCATCTGTAGTATTTACTGTCTTGCTTACTATTTATTATTCCAGGCCTAGTGGTCATGTGATACTTAAAGTAGTATCCTCAGGAACCCTAAGAATTTCTGAAATACCACAGGAGTATAAATAAACTTTTTATATTATATAAGCATAATTCTGTACAATTTCAGAATTTCACACATCCTCATTTCTTAATTTATTTAAACAAAACAGCCTTAAGTTGGCTGCATTGATTTTGTTGATGATTCATATAAAAATAATAATCCATTGCACTAGAGAAAAGGTGACTTATTGATAAATGAAAATGTCTATAATAGAACACTGGAAAGGTTTTTTTTTTTTTCTTTCTTTGAGATAGGGTTTTGTTCTGTCACCGAGGCTTGAGTACAGTGGCCCGCAATCACAGCTCACTGCAACCTTGAACTGCTGGGATCAAACAATTCTCTTGCCTCAGGCTCAGAGTAGTTAAGACTACAGGTGCACATCACCATACCTGGCTAATTTTTTTTTTTTTTAATTATTTTTGTAGAGAACAGAGTCTCAACACGGTGCCCAGGACAATTTCAAATTCCTGGTCTCAAGCAATCCTCCTGTCTTGGTCTAAACGTGTTGAGATTACAGGCTTGAGCCACCATGCCCAGCCTGGAAAACTTTTAAGGCAAGACATCAGGAATTCTAAAGTTTTAAAAAGTTGTCAAATTACAAAACAATAGCAAAAGCAAAAATTATACTAACAGCTGTCATACATGATTTTATCTGCTAATTTTATTTTGGGACAATGTCAGTGTGAAAATGAAGCTTGCATAGATACTCCTATTATGCCTCCTTTAGTCACTGGTAGGGAGGATGTGTTGTCATGTAGATAATTTCTCTCTAATTTCCTTTTCAGAAGAATCCACACTAATAACCTCTTACTTGTCCCATGTCAAGACAAGCATTATTCCTAAAATAATGAATTATGCAATTCCTTCTACAGATTGATAGACATAATCTATGTAAAGACAAGCATTATTTCCAAAATAATGAGTTACGCAATTCCTTCTAGACATTAATAGGTACAATCTCTGTTCTCTATTAGAGTGGGTTACCCAATTTCTCAGCATTTACCTTTGAACATGTATCTGTTTGCTAATTTTTGGACTCTTAGAAAGTAGTTACTTCTCAAACAGCATTTATAGGAATTGTAATATATTGGCTGGGCATGGTGGCTCATGCCTGTAATCCAACACTTTGGGAGGCCAAGGTGGGTATATTACCTGAGGCCAGGAGTTCAAGACCAGCCTGGCCAACATGGTCTAACCCCATCTCTACTAAAAATACAAAAATAGCCAGGTGTGGTGCTGCATGCCTGTAATCCTAGCTACTTAGGTGGGTGAAGCATGAAAATCACTTGAACCTGGGAGGCGGGGGTCGCAGAAAGCTGA